AAGAGATGTCAGGAGCAGGTTGCCGTATTGATAGTGTATGTAGACAATATCATCGTTACAGGGAGTTGGAGTTCAGAGATACAAAAATTGAAACAATTCCTTGCATCCAAATTTGAAGTGAAAGATCTAGGACTCCTAAAGTATTTCCTTGGATCGAAGTTGCCCGTTCAAAAAGGGTATCTTTGTCTCTTAAAGGAAATACACCCTTGATCTATTACGAGATACAGGTAAATTAGGTGCAAGGCCGACAGACACTCTTATGGATGCAGACCACAAGCTAGGTGACTGTATTGGTGAACCTCTAAAAGATGTAAAGCAGTTCCAAAGGTTAGTGGGAAAGCTGATTTATTTATCCATGACCCGGCCAAATATTGCCTATTCAGTTGGAGTTCTGAGCCAATTTATGCACTCTCCTAAGAAGCCACACATGGAGGCAGCTGAGAGAGTCCTTAGATACCTGAAGAAACATCTAGGAACAGGCCTACTATTCAGTAAACACAATCACCTAAAGGTGGAAGTCTTTACAGATGCTGATTGGGCAGGAGCTATGGATGATAGAAAGTCCACTAGTGGGTATTGCACATTTGTGGGAGGAAATCTGGTGACCTGGAAGAGCAAGAAGCAAAGTGTGGTAGCAAGATCAAGTGCAGAAGCTGAGTATAGAGCTATGGCACATGGGGTGGTCTTTTTTTCTCTTGGATATATCAAGTGATTTTTCTTATTAACTAAGTTATGTTCTTTCCTCTAAGTAACACTAGAGGAAGAACTTTACATGATATGTTTTATGGTTGGAAATTATCAAATTATCAAATTCATTTACTTTTAACTTTAATGGTTTTTATTTTGTTATTATGGTTAATGATATTATGTTACCTATCAATTATTCTTTGAAGTTTGTTCCATGAAGATACATGTATTATAGCTAGTCAGGCTGGGAGTTTATTAATATAGGAAAATTCCATCCTTTTGCAGCACATATTCCTTTATATCTATATCCTTTCCTTAACACTACAAGCAAAACAAGACCTTTTGAATATTTGAGGCTTACCAGTTTGGGTGTTATTGGTGCACTTGTAAAGGTACAGTTTTGCATTTTAAAGTTTCATGCATAGTTAAGGTTTCTGTACATATCTATGTATTTAAATCACATGTAAGCAACTATTTGCATGGAAAATAGTGGTGGTTTTTGGCACTGTAATGTTGCATGTGTTTCTGGTTAGAATGCTGCCAAGGTGGCACAGCCAAAGGGGATTCAAAACTAGTAATTTGTTGGATGAATGAAAACTCTCCAGGGGTTTGGTTGTACAAGAACGTTTAAAGGGAAATTAATTGCCTAGCTAAGGAAACTAATTTTACATCCAAGTGGGTGAGAAGGACCACATATGGATGCCAGGTTCCTTAACAAAGCAAGAGGTTAATAGGGAGCAACTGTCCTGGGCAGAGTCGTAATCGATCTGTTTTATTTTGGTTGTTGGATTCTTCCCAACTTGTATATATAATTCACATGATTTAAGTTTCATTAATAAAGCTTTCCTTTGCTGATCAAAAAATGCTACCAGGTTGGCACCACATTGGCATTCTGAGTTTAATGTCATTTGAACTAGAGACTTATGACATCTGACATGGCCTTCTCAGGAATCTCACTGTTTGAAAGTTAATGGCTAGTGGTGTTTACATAGCTGTTCAGCCCAATGCTGCTCAACTATGCAGCACTACACTGACAAATACTTCTATTGTGTTTTAAGGATGATATTTATGATCAAAGATTGTAGTCAAAATCATACATCAACTAGGGAAGGGTGGGACTTTACAGTTTATCTGATTTGAGTATAGGTTAATGGGTTATCTTGGGTTAATTTGGCTCAAGCAATTTTATCTATTTAATATGCATCATGTTACCTACTCCGAGCTGCTGTTGTGTGGACAATATGGGAAGAAAGAAATAATAGAATCTTCAATGAAAAGAGCAGAAATAATAGAATCTATTTAATATGCATCATGTTACCTACTCCGAGCTGCACACTGGGTAAAAACTTTGGAGACTTTCAGAATCTTTTCATTCAATGATATTATCAGATCCTGGCCTGAAGTTGCACAAACTGGAAACCACCCTGAAAAGGTAAGACAGGATTGGAAGCCACCAACTGAAAGTAAACTAAAACTGAACTTTGATGGTAGCTCTTTGGCTAACTTAGGAAGAGCTTGTATTGAGGGAGTGATTAGAAACCATCAAGGCTTGGTGGTTGTGATGTATTCAGGCTCAGCAGGTATAGGAGATTCAGTCGTGGCAGAAACAATGGCACTGCTACAAGGGTTGATATTAGCACCAGCATGGTCTCAGAAATTTGGAAATTGAAGGTGATTCACAGCTAGTAATTCATTTGGCAAAGCACCATGGAAATTCAGACATGCATTTAGGGAGATTGATGTGATTGCAAAGAATTTGAATGCAAACTTCAGCTGGGTGAGAAGAACTGCAAACGGGGTAGCAGATGCATTCGCTAAACAAGGAGTAAATAGGCAAAGTATTTTCTGGGCATACTTGTAAACGTGTACTGATGAGTGTGAAAATTTGAGGGAAAAAATGAATTGATTGTATTGTCTTGGAAGGAGCATATACACAACTTTATATAGAATTACAGAGCTAATTTACAGGGTGATAAAATAGGAAACCAACTTTTCCTAAAAAACTAATTTCTATATCAGTGGGATTCTCCAATTAATATCCCATGATTCTAGGATATCCCATGATTCT